GTAGCCCTGCCAGGGCCAGACAGAGAACGCTTGCTGGAGCCCTATCCTCAATTTTTCACCGATCCCTAAAGCTTCGCGTTCGCACTCGCGTACACACGCGCGTAGAGGACTTGGCTCAAGCGCGTTTCTCGACAATGAGCCACGCCGCGCCAAGCTCTGAGACTTCGCGCGCCGGGATGTCCTTCCAGGCCGAGGCGCTAAGTTAAGGAGGAGCCGCGCTCATACGCAGATACACATGGATGAGCACATGAAAATATATGTAAACATTACGCATCTTACCATTGGTTTCAGCTTGCACTGAAACGCCTGCCCGCCTTGCAGTTTTCACAGGGGCCCCTACGCCCGCCAAGAGCCTGGACCCAATGCGACTTTCGGGGTTTGCCAGCCCTGGCGCTAAGACTCTTGCAGCCTCTCCCGGGAAGGTGAATCGCTTCTTGGAACAGGTGGCCACCAGCAAGAACACGATCGATGAATCTTGAGGATGATGAGCGTCAAGTTATTGTTTCACAAGCGGCGGTTGCCGGGGATCCTTGAGGCGCGTGGCAAGCGCACGTGCTTCTTGTCGATGTACTGTTCTCTAGTTTGGCACGCCTTAAGCAACATTTGGCCAAGCAAAGGAAATCTTGAGTGAGGACGCAACCTCCACCTGCGAAGGGCCCAACGATCCAACGTCACTTGGGCCCACGCCGTCCACGGACGCGGACGTGACTGACACGCAGGAGGACCGGGTTCTGATCAGTTCTGTTTGTGTCAGAGCGCGCGCGCTCAACTTAATTGTTGTGTAGGAGCCCAAGGGGTCGCCAAAGAACTCTGCAGATGAGAAGGGTCAGAATGAAACACCGGCTGCGTCGCAGAACCAGGAAGAGATCCAGCAGTGCAAAAGATCATGCCGGGGTTGACATCGGGCGCACGCTTGCCTTCCATGTTCAATATGCACCGATTGGTTGAACCCTTGACTTTGCCTAGGTGGCCTGCAGACCAAGCCACCGCCAGATCAAGCGCCGCGCAATCGCGCACACGGAAGCCGGCCTCACGGAAGCTTGACGCGCCGGACGAAATCCATCGCCGTTGGCAGGCCAGGGAGCAGGAGCGGCAAGAGCTGTTGGACATCTGCATCCTCTGCGACGGTGCGAAGGCTCAGGACAATTAACGACCGGACACATTTAAAGTCTATGGGCACCGTCAAGGTGAACTCTGGATTTTAAAGCAAGGGGCAGATGAAGCAAAGGCTAGGCTATGGCCCGTTGGCGTCTTAGTGGGCGCGGCAGGCCTGTGAGCGCTTGACAAGTTTGAAAACTGAATTGCGCGCCTTACTTGTTGACCAAAGGAAGAGAGTTGATGCTATCAAGCGCTTCTGCGTGGCAAAGGGGCGGAAGGGGACATGCGGCAACTTGCACACGGTTCATCATACAAGGTCTTGACATTGAGCGCTTGGCTGAACCTTTCCAAGCCACTCTCCTGCGCACGATGAAACTGTAGCGCGCACACATGCTTTGCTTTTAGGCTCCAAGTTCCAAGTCATCCATCACTCCAGCGCCAACCATTCCACCATTGCCCTCGTTTATACAACACAACACACGCGTGTTCCCTTCCAAGGTCTGGATGAGCCAACCAGCTTTGAGGGCAAGATGCTCAGGAGCTACAATAGGTGCGATACGCAAATAACGCAGAACTTCGGGTAGCGCGCGCGTGTCAACCCACGCTCTAGCCGGGTAGAGCGCACGTGCGAGCGTGCGGCGGTGTCGGTTCATAGCCTCTTTGGACGGCCAGTGCGCACTATAGGCATAAAACAACCCCGAGCCAAAGGACAATTACGAGGGCTTCCTGCACTTTTGCGCCAAGCGGTTCGTTTCAAGAGGCCGAAGAAGAAGAGTTGGAGGAGCCACAAGCCTTGGGTCAGGCCAGGCAAGCGGCGTTCAAACGGGCCTCCGCAACATGGCGGGTGTGGCCTCCGGCGCTCCAATTCTGCGTCAGCAGCGTTTCTGACACCGACGACGATGAGGAGCAGGCAACTGGCTCCAAGAAGAAGAGTGGAATAAACACCAAGAGGGAGAGGGAAGCTGGCCCGGACTTGGAGGACAGGTTGCGGTGTGTGGGAAATGGTTGAATTTCCACGTGACTCGTGCGCGCTCACACAGGCACAGGCACGCATGCGTGTCTCGATGGGCCAACGACCCCAACGCAATCCTGGATGAGGCTCCTCAAGAAGGCCGCGAAGTCGGAGAGCCGGACCCCCAGGCCAAGAAGCAAGTGCGCGTGACACGCTTGGGCAACACCAGAACAACCTGATCAAGCTGCACGACGCGGTCGGCGAGAGGAAGGCCATTATCGACCCGAAGCACAAGTCCAAGAGGGATCGAGGCTAGGGGCTTATCATACTCGTGCTTCATTTGCCACATGTGTGTCACAGGTTGAACGGCTTTTTTCGATCTTGGAACCGACACTACCCAAGGAAGGTGAACACGGGTTTTGCTGACAAGCTTCGTGAGATTGAGAGGGGCGCCGCAACCTCAGCTATGCACTTGCCCGCGCCCACATCGAGTAAGTGTGGCCTCCAACAAAGTCAAGAAGACCCTTGGCCTGCAAAGAAGCTCTCGACCTATGGTGGAGATAGTGTGATTGAGTTGCCCCTATTGCTTTTGAACATCCCTTTTTGGCAGACTGCAGTTGGCCAACGTAGGACACTTTTCAAGAGACCCCCGGGCTCGCCGAGCGCTGATGGGCTGGCTGTACCAAAGGAAGCCTGCAGCATTAGATTCTTTGATGGAGGTGTTGCCCACAGAGTTGTTGTCCCTCTTCTTCTTCTACAAAGGCATTCAGCTGCAACATGGTGCGGAGCAATTTGTTTTGCACCCTGCTGCAGCGGGATGTAAGGGAGTCTGGCCTATGCTAAAGAAACTGGGACCACTGAAGCGTAGCCATCGGCGGAAAGGCTCAAGCAAGGAAAGCAAAGGGTCGTTGCCCGACTGGCCGAATGCCCTAAGTGGGTTGAATTCGACGATCGTCGATATTCAACCCAGGCCCGACGTGGCTGGAGAAACCCCCGCTGCTAGCATCCCTCAATCACGTCGATGCAGCAACGAGCTTGGAAATTAATCGCCTGATCTGCCACAAGGGCTTGGTGGCCGAACTTGTTGGCGGCGGTTTGGCCCCTGTGCTGGATGATGTGTTTCGTGCGTACGCTCAAGTATGCTTTTCTTTGACCGATCGATCTAGTTTTTGAGCACGCTGCCCAGCCCGTCCCTTTATCCAGCCCTCGGCATCTGCTGCAGGTAAGCCTCATGGACCTGAAGCTGGATGCGGGTGGCGGCGCTGGGAATTTCCCTGACAGGCTTCACAGCCTTTACCTGGGGATGAAGGATATCCCAACGCACATGTCGGACTTGACAAGAACACTTCTGGGAGCGCCTTGGCAAGCGCTTGCAAAAAAAGTTACTTTTGACGCCTACAGCGATTCCAGCTGTATCCAAGCCAGGATTTGCTTTTTGCGCTTTTTGTTTTAGTTGGAACTTGGGTTGGAGGTACCAACAAGGGGCGCAGCTTGAGTTATAGTCAGGTGTCTGCGGGGTGTTAGCTGAAACGTGTCCATAGGCTTGCGGATCTGCGGAAATTGAGGGCAAGACCCCTCAGACAACGACCCCGCGTTCCTTTGGAAAGCGGTGACTTTTGGTGTGGCTAACGGGCTGGATCAAGGGCGCCGACACACGCGCGGGCCTTCACTTTTTGGAGAGCAAGCACGAGGGCGTCTTATAAAATTCTCTGAATACAAAAACCTGCAAAATGCCCAGGATTTCCTCACAAAAATCTGAGAAAACATGGCGCAACGCAAACTCTACCGTGCTCCGCTACTCTTGTTGCGCCAGCTTCTACAGGGATTTCCAAACACGGGCGTAAGATTGCTACAGAGGCTCACATTCTATCTATGTCAGCACGAACTGGCTCCAAAGCTGCGCATGTTCTGGCAGTAGGAAGGTGGATGTGCGACAAGTGCACATTCGAAGGGTGAGGCGGGTATTGGTTTCCCTCCATCAGCAAGTTTGGCCTGAACGCGCGGCATGAAGATCAAATAGATGTGAGACGCAGCAACTTTAGCATGTTTGGTCCCACAGCCGGATCTGCCACAGTGGCATAGTGGCAGGAGCGCCTTCCACTGTGATCCTCGGCAAGTGTTTTCAGCCACTAGGATTCCCAGGTGCGTCGAGCTTCGCTGTCTTTCTTCCACGCGCGACTTCACTAGACTGCTTCTCTAGCCAAACACCGCAGAAAACCTCCAGCGCCGATTGCTCAGGCAATCTCTTATGCAACTTCCGTGCAGCTTTCACAGCAACCTCTCGTGCATCTTCCTCGCGTAACTTGCTCCAGCAAGCTCCAGTGTAACTTGGTTGTGCAACTTGCTCATGCAACTTGCTTGTCTCGCTTACTGGCACAACTTCCTTGTGCACCGTGCCTGTCAACTTGACGCGCGCAATCGGCCACACAATGCGTCCAAGACAAAATCAAGCTTCCGAGGGTTGACCGCTAAAGTCCGAAGAGCACGCAAAAAGCCGAGTTGCTGACAGAACTCGTTCCAAGCCCGCTCCGCTTGCCGTCAGGCTTCGCGACCGAAGTGGTTAGCGCGCATCCGGAAGAGCCGAATTCATGCGGCCCACATGTTGAGCCAGCTTCTCCTTCTTCTTGGCCTCGTCTTATGTTTACACGCAATGCACCTATTGTTTGAAGACGTCAGACTCAATTAGTTCCAGCACCACGGAAGCTCCTTCCAAACTTCCTTGATCATAATGTCAACATTGTGACTTGCCGCGATCTGCCAAGTAACACGTTGCCCCTCGTCAATCATCATGGAAGGCCAGAAAGGCTTACAAAAGTATGATGCATGCGAAACAGTACTAAGTAGTTTCCAACACGATGGACGACACAAGCTTCGCGTCCTGCTCGGAAGAGAAAGCTGTCACCCTTGCCTGCTTGCTCTATGCGAGCACAAACTAAGCCACTTTCCCAGCCTCTGCTAAGTCGTATATTGTAAGTCTTCCTCACGCTGCAAAAGGCACAACTGCTGCGTCGCAGCAACCGACATTTCAAGTCAAGTAGGCTGATAAAGTCAGTTAACCGCACTTCAATGTTTTTACCAAAGGCCAATGAAACGCTGAAAGACCAAAGACTGACAGGATATGTTCTGCCAAGTGTCGGAAAGACTTGCTTTTGCACCCCGGCACAATTCAGTAGGAGAGAAGCTGTAGCAACGTCATCCTCGCAGCACATCAGGCAATATGACGAGGGAAGGTTGAGATCATGCACGCGTGGCAGCACGGCAAAAGCTTTTCTGCACTCGAAATGGCCTTCTTCCATGAATCTACGACACAACGCTTGAAACAAATCTGGGTATGTCTCACAAGCAATTTTGGACGCAACTTGCAACCAAGCGCTTGGCTGGATCACTAATTTTGAGACAGACCCCTGCTGCGGCATCCATTTGATCCTGCCTCCTCGTCAACCGCCATGCCATTCAAGCAAATGCTTCATGAGACAGCGCGAGGCCTGTCTAAATGTGTCTAAATACCACACAGGCGAAAACTTGTTCGTAGACTCTTGCCAGCATGTTTGCGAAGGGCCACTGACAAAGTGAAGAAAAGAGATTCCGACAGAGATAGAGGGATGCGAGAGGGAGTTGGTTGAATACCTATGTTTCCTGGCAATGTCATTTCTTTGCCTGAAGTTTGAGCAAAACCATGCACAGATTCAAACAATGCCGCGGCTCTGCTTATGAGTGTTGACTGAACAGTCAGCGCAGCAGACCACATCTTGCCAAGGCATGTTTGCTCCACTCGCAAGGCCTCATCCCCATGACATCTCCGGGTTTGCCTGGACAGGTTTAGATTACGGGCCAAGAACCGAGGAGCGAAGAATTCACGCACCAACAGCTTCTCGTCTGAGATCGACATGAGGATGTCTCATGTGCATGGAAGTCGGTGGCTAAAGTACACTCTCTACCAAACCGTTAGAACATGCCGCCGTTGCTCGCAGTGTTTTCAACATGTTTTCCCCTGTGAATTCGTGTGCAAAGAGTTGGGCCCAAATGCCCAGTGAAACTTCACGCCATGCCATGTTGCCTGCGTCAGGCGCACGGCATGGCTCGAGGCCATGTGATTCCATCCCCTGGAGTGGAGTGCACCGGCAGAAACCAGAGCAGCAACCGGTCCCCCAGCACACTCTGGCAGTTCCTCCAGACCCCGAGGTCATACGGTGACGTGCTCTGGCCGCTGGACAACTTCTCGCAGAACTCGATGGTGGTAATGTTCCTGGAGAGCAACCACAAATGGAAGCAAAGAAAGGGACTGAGAATTGCGGCGAGCAGTCCTGCAAACCCTGCGCCCCCCAGTGATATCACAGTGGCGCCAGCGGCATAATCGTGATCCCACAAGGCATGTAGAATACCAAAGCATGCGATGTTGGTGGCAACAACGGTGTACAGGAGGAAGAGCAGAAAGAATTTGTAGTTGAAATGCCCAATGCAGTTGTTCATCCATGGGCAATAGTGATCCATCCGCAGCACATTGCGTTGCATGACAGAGCAGAAGTGTGCACGGTCAGGCTTGTACTTGAGCTCCTTGTGACAAAAGCGCAGCTCCCCTGATCTCTTTCGCTCCTGGATCAGGTGAGCGATGTACTGCTCTGTTTCGGGACTTCGCAGCCAGGATTCAGGTACTCCACCAGGATCTGTGGTGATCCCCTGCAGGTAAGAGATGACTGCCAACACGAAGCACTCGTGGAACAGAAGCAGTCCTGGCCAGCTTGATCGGCGAACTATTGGATGTCGCATGCAGGAAAGGAAGACTGCGAAGTACAGGGTGCTCATCATGACACCCACCACCATGATGATCAACGACTCGTACAAAGGTCTGTGCTGGAAGCGCTCTACGAAGCACTTGGCATCGACAAACCCACAGATTAGCCGAAGTTGCGAAGGTGCTCTCGCCATGAGGCAAGCAAGGCCCTCCAAGGTGTCGCCCACCAAGGCCCTCCAATCATCAGCAAGCTCCGCCAAGGCCAGGAAGAGCGGAAGCCTGTTACGCTTCGGGCCGCTAAGGGTAACACCAACAGCGCCGGCAGCGCTGCCAAGCTGAGTCAACAACTCACAGCTATCGAAGCTATGGTAGTTCTCCACGAAACTCGAAGTCATCGAAGCCATTGGGCTTAGTCCCTCCATGGGCTTTAGCCTTCCCGCGCCACTTGAGGCTTCCACTGCGGGAGGGGAAGCCAACAATCTTATTCCGGCTGTCACCCAAGCACTGCCTCTGTCTCTTAAAGCAAGGACACCCGAGAATGGCAAGGTTGGAAAAAACCCACGGGGGTGTTTCCAAGGGGAGCCGTCTGACCCCAAAAACAGCACCCCTAGGTCAGACGGGCTCTTGCATCTGGAGTTGCCCCTCCAGCATGGCCGCTTCGCTGGCCTTGAAAGCAAGCTGGCCATTGGCCTCGGCACAAAATGCGCGCCTCACGCATTTTGGGAAAGACGTGTCTGGAAAAGAAAGGCGTCGATCAGTGTCCGGCCGCACACTGTGGCCTTGAAAGGAAAGGTGTAGCGTGTGAATGCGAGCGCAGGCCACAAGCAAAGGCGCGGAGCCCAGAGAACTAAGGCTACGGCTGAAGGCAAGCTGTGAAAGGTTACATCAGATTCTCAGTCAAACTCTTCAATCTAAGATCAAAATTATTGACCTTGATCCAATTAGCTGGCGCTGCAATGGCACATTTGAGGCATCTCACATCTCGCACCCTGTGAATGAACGTCCAACGTGCTGATACAACCTCTGTGGTTTGCTTCAAAGGTATGACTACGAGGCTTGATGTACTCACCTTCCCCGACGCGAATGAATTCATTGATACACACGCAGACCAAAAAACTGCATGTGTATAAGGGGCGTCGCATCGTGCTTCATTCAGTAGAACGACGATTGGGGCAGGCGGCACCTTCCATCCGGTGAGAGATGGTCATCTCCGTCTGTCCAATCAATTGCGACATGACCTGCACGGGTCGCGTCGGGCAACGCAAGCTTTTCCAATGCAAACACTGCATGCTAGGTGGACGTATGCCCCTGCCAACTATCTCCGCCGACTGTGGGTCACGATAAAATCGGTTATCTGGGGAAGTAAGGGAGACGGTCTCTGACAGTTGGGGATATTCCCTGCCCGGTTGCAATAGCGACCTCTGATGTTCTCTTTTCACAGGGCATGCGCATGTCAGAAGCATTTTTGTTCGCCAAATCTTGCTTGCTCGTCCCTGGCTCAACCTGGCGCTGACAGCCCGTCGGGACTGCTCCCGGCCATTGATACACAAGTTGTGCAACTGAGACCGCTTTGGAGAGCGCCCTTGCCAAAGGTCAGAGAGTAGCTGCTCCTGAAGCCAACCCTTCTCTTCACTCTTGAAAGACAGGCTGAGAATGCAATTGCTTGGTCTTGCCCCTAGTGAATTGATACAAATGGAATGTTGTCCTACAAGAGCGTCGATGCCCTACAGTCAGCAACTTCACGAAATGCCAGGTTTGGCCCATCCACGCGCATTCCAGGCGCCGCACGAGAAACAAGCCACACTCCGCAAGGTCCAAGTCAAACTCCGACTCCAACTCCAGCTTGGCAGCCTCCCAGACGCATGAGGCAGGCCCTGTTCCTGCATCCCGTTCGAAGCAAAGAGCAAAGGACAAAATCCTCCTTTTTCCCCGAAAGCACTGGAAAATTGGAATCCTGTGCTTCCGCTAGCCTCTAATTGGGAGGCTCTCTCTGAAGCTTTACTCGTATTCTCACAACACTCAATGCTTAATGACCATAGCTCCTGCACTCCGCTTCATTGCGCGCTTGACGCTCAACGCCACGCAGGGTAAGTAGAAGCATAGAAAGCCACAGAAGCATAGAAAGCCATAGAAGCATAGAAAGCCATAGAAGCATAGAACGCCATAGAAGCATAGAAAGCCATAGAAGCATAGAACGCCATAGAAGCATAGAAAGCCACAGAAGCATAGAAAGCCATAGAAGCATAGAACGCCACAGAAGCATAGAAAGCCATAGAAGCATAGAAAGCCATAGAAGCATAGAAAGCCATAGAAGCATAGAAAGCCAAGAAGCATAGAAAGCCATAGAAGCATAGAAAGCCATAGAAGCATAGAACGCCATAGAAGCATAGAAAGCCATAGAAGCATAGAACGCCATAGAAGCATAGAAAGCCACAGAAGCATAGAAAGCCATAGAAGCATAGAACGCCACAGAAGCATAGAAAGCCATAGAAGCATAGAAAGCCATAGAAGCATAGAAAGCCATAGAAGCATAGAAAGCCACAGAAGCATAGAAAGCCACAGAAGCATAGAAAGCCATAGAAGCA